CCAGGTTGCATGACGGCTGATAACCTATTGACGCCGTATACCTGGACTGTGTTATATATTATATCGGGAATCTTTTCGATAAAGCTTTAACTAATCGTATCTTATACAAACCTCAGCATTATCGAATACGTGACAACGTACTGGGTTGAATCCCAAGACTTTCCGAACGACAGAACGTATCAGCTCAGGGTTTGCGTTAAATGGCGCTTGCTCGACTCGTCATGCGGTACATAGAGTATCGGCAAGTACTTGGTACAATTCTTTTGCACGTATTTACATATAAGCGACCTGCCAACGAACCTCAAAACTGGTGTCAGTTGCTTTACACATGACATCAAGCTCTTTTGCGATGCAAACACCAGCAGAGAAGATCTTAACGATACCCGAGTGGTGTGAGAACTGGCTGATGATGACCTTAATCATAACTTTGCCTAATAACTAATTCTCCTAGGAGCGGATACGCGCAGAGCTCTCCAACTACGGCATAAATGATGCTGAAGTGGTGAGGATCACTTCGAAGACAAAGTTGCCCATCTTGTTCTTGGTTAAAACTACCAAACGTAAATAGGATAAGAATATGCATCACCCTAAGCTCCGCCATGATCTCGTTCATACTCGGTGGTGAAAAAAAAAAATTACATTTATGTTATGTTATGTCCACTACAACTAGATAAGGTAAAAAGAGGTGAATAATTATTGGGGGTGAAATTTTTATTGACTAAAGTGTTCATGTTCTGCACAATCGTCGCATGCGCCGCTGCTGGCATTGGTTTTCCCCTTTCTGTCCTTGCATTTTGTGCCGTTGGAATAGAAATTGGAATATCTGAGGAGGTGCTACTGGTGCTAGTAAAAATTTGATCTTCTATTTTTTTTTTTTTTTTTGATATAAAGAATTTTCCACGTATCCATCAGCGACGGCGCTGCTTTTCCAACCGCCATGTCGTTTAAGCTGATCTATGCTTATCCCAGAGTCGGCTAGCAACGATGCCGACGTTCTGTGAAAACAGTGGTCCGTGTATAGCTTCGCATCTGGCAGCTTTAAATAGTTGGCAATTTTAGTTGGCATTTGCCCGAATGTGTCCATGGGCTGAGAAGTGGAAAATGTAAAGGAAAGGAGTATGTCACAATTGACGACAATCAAGGGGACTGAATATTTAGCGCCCTTTATGGCACAGCAGATTTACATCAACAAAGAGAGTATGTCATACGACATAATTGCAAAAGAAAATATTTACAGGAAAAAAACAGCATCAGATGTTTCTCGTAGAACAAAGACGTTGAAATATAAGTTCCAAGTGCCGAAGGACCCATAAATGTTTGCAAATCAATGTTTTTAAACACTTTGGGTATTTCGGAAAAGATGATGCGCACAGCTTTGAGTAAAGTATGTGAAGAAGGAGTGATTTTGGCTGACAAGTGGCGAGGTCGATACAATAATCTCAAAATAAAAGATGCCAAGATTACATAAAAGAATTTCCAAGAATGGAATCACATTTTTGCATAGAATCTACTACAAGAGAATAAATACCTACATCCAGATCTCACTGTTGAAAAGATGTATTATTTATATAACGAGAGTGCAGCAGCAGGGCAGTTAACTTGTACGGTATCCGCCAAAATAAACAGTACCAAAATCTAGAGCTCTGAGAAATTGCGCACGCAAGTTGCGATCATCATATTTCACTTACTTGGCATCAGTTATGAGGTTGACTTTGAGTTAAGGTTGAAATCTGCGTCATTATGTATCTTTCAACTAAATAAACAGTTTCCTTAGTAGAGCACTATTTCCGGTCATACGTTATTGGGAGGATAAAGGCTTAAGTTTGAAACAAGTCTCAGAAAAATGTCAGCAGCCACTCTTGATAAATAATTTCAATGATTTGCAGAACCCTTATGAAGCTTTTTTTTTGCGTCGCAATGATGCATTTTTTGAACATATACGCATGATACAATAGTTATTTTTCTTAGAATGACAGTAAAAGCGGCCTTTTAATGACACTTGACAGGATAAAAAATTGTATTTTTACTGCCTAGGCAATAAAAGTGGATTTTTACTGCCTAGGCAGTAAGAGTGGACCTTTACTGCCTAGGCATTAAAAGTAACAGTGTCACAACGTTCCAGGTAATAATTTCACCCATTTTGGTATTTGAAATTGATGGTGACAATGACAATTGTCAAAATAATTTAATTATTTGGATAATAATAATGAATGAAATACATATAAAAAAGATATCCATGTGTGAATTTGAACATTCGGAGCAAAAATTATGTTTTACATGGCAGAAAAGTAAACTTAATGCCTCGGCTGGTTTCCTAGCCTCGGCAATGAAACACCAGCCGCGGCATTAAATCTTGTACTTTTCTGCCTAGTAAAACAAATAACTATTGTTTTACTAGGAAGAAAAGCACACGATTTAATGCTCGGCTAGGCCTCGGCTAGGAAACCAGCCAAGGCATTAAATCTGATTTTCTGCCATGTGAAACATTTAATTTTTTCTCTGAATTTATTCTAATTTCACTCACAGTCAACTTTTTTATATTGATTTCATTCTTAATATCTAAATAATTAAATTATTTTGACAAAAATGTAAAATTGTCATTGTCATTGTCAATTTTGAAAACCAGATTGACTTTAATAATTACCTGGAACGTTGCATAGAAACGAACTTTTAATGCCTAGGCAATAAAAGTCCACTTTTACTGCCTAAGCAGTAAAAATACATCTTTTGAGCCTGTCAAGTATCATTAAAAAGTCGCTTTTACTGTCTCGGAGAAAATAGCACATTATACACCTAGGGACTAAAGTGGTACTTTTAATCCCGAAACAAAAAGTTTATTTAGGGAAACCGGGTATAAAACGGGGTGCCACGTTTCAAATTTTCGTGGGTTAGTGCAACGTTGCCATATCGATATATATTCACAGCACTATATGCTAGGAATGCGTTCGCATCAAATTTGACCTTGTTGGTAGTCCTTCGAGAGCTGCTGCGTCGAATGCATCACTATAAGAAGATCTTGTGTAAGAATTGACGAATTTGCGAACCACGGTGAGTTTTTAATTTTACTAGCCGGTCATTTTGTGTAGTATAGGAAGAAAGCCCTTCTCTTAGGGTACCTTGTCCCCAGAAAATGAAATTATTAGTTAAAACCCTTCAATTGTTTATGTAGTCACAATGGCGACGAATCCTCTTGGGGAAGAATGGGGAGAGGCAGAACGGGGTAAGGCAGAACGGGGTAAACCACGTCCAGCTCCACGTGAATGTTGAACTGCTAAACTTCATTGTAGATGTTGTTTAATGATGTAAACAGTTTTGAATACATTGTAGATGGTAGCTATAGAACTTACTTCGTATTAAATAACATTTAACCATTATCATCCTGAACAAATTATTTTTTCTAGATGGTTCGAATATACGTAAGAAAAACGGAACGACAACAATGGTCTTCGGAGTCTAATGCATCAGTTAGGAGTTAGAGTTAGTGATCAATAAAGAGTGTTGACTAAGTTTTAAACAACTCTCTTATTCTGCCTAACATGTACCCCAATGTACATACCCCATAGGTGAACTGGGGAGCACAACGGGGAATTGTGCAGATTTTGTCATGAAAATAAATAGTAAAATACAGAAAAGGAAATAATGAAATATCTTTGTAATAATCATTAGAATTAATATCAAATAAAGTATCCAAAAGTTTGAGGATTTGGTAAATTTTCTCAGAAAAAAAAATTCAAACTCCCATTATTTTTATTACGAACTACTATTGCAATTCTACGCGACATATATTCTTTTTTCAAATTTTTTGAACGTGTAGTTTTCTCGCTACTGCAAAAATAGTTGGAAATACGCCTGTAGCTACACTGTTTAAAAAAAATCCGGCGGATGAACGTTCAAAATTATTTGCGTTGGTCCAAATTACAACCCTGTTTATGTAAAACAGAATAATACTTCGAATTTCCGCAAAAAAAGAAAAAACGTTCCATCACACAATTTTACCAAATGAAGATTTCTATTATTTTTTTCACTATCAAGTTAGGGCACACTGTAGGGGCGACAGCATTGACATCTCGCGTTGCTGTAATAAACTATAGGTCTGACTTTAAACCTTAATCTCCAGGAAATAAAGTACAAATTTAATCCCCGGGAAATAAAGTGAAATTTGATCCCGAGGATTAAAAGACCGAATTTACTCCCTTGAAACAGGGATCAAAAGGGTACTTGTAATCCCTGAAGTGCATAAAAGCTATAAATAAAATATTGGCAATAAATATCATACTGGCGTATGTGTCTAAATTATTTTAACGAAGATCCTACAAAGGGGCGTATGTTCATCGAGTACTAACTTTTCTATGACAGCTAAACAATATGAAAAATCTGTTATATTAGCCTGCAGTTATGACAATTTATCTGCCTCAATAAATATCTGTATACCAAAAAATATATATCCGAACAGAGTGGTAGCTTTTTAATCTACAATCTTTTTTTTTAAATGGCAATCCTGTAAAATTATCTATTTGTACCTTACGTCCCTTTATCAGATTAGCGACGATATAATCACATCAGAAAAACACAACGAAACCACCTTTCACGTTAAAAATCTAATTATTCAGACATAGAACGTGTTTTGTCAACAGTCAGCAGCTTCCGCAGTCCACTCCAAGCCACATTTCTCCAGAAAAATTCATAATAGATCAAGTTCTAATCTGATGAAGTATTCAGTAAATGATTTTTTGATTTAAAATACAAATTTTGTAGTTCACATAGATCATTTCTTTGAATTTTTTTTGGAAAAATGATGCAATGTATTAATGGATGCTTCTCAGATGGGATTGGACCTTTGAGGTGCAGCTCACTTCATCACTTCCGTAAAAAACAAAAATACTTTCAAAATTCGCAAAGTTGCTGAATTTCTTCATAATTCAATTGGTTACGATAGTCGATAGAAATGAGAAAATATGAAATCGTGAATTATGCTGTTGTGAAATCCAGCGTGTACTTACATAGTTCTTCTCGGTCTAAATAACTGACTCCACCGCCAAAGAGTCCTTTGAAAAATCCGATTTTGGGTGGTTCTGGCATTTCGCACGTTAAAAAAAGTTCGCCTAACATTTCGGCTAGTTCATTGCTTGAAAAAAAGGAACAAGTTTAATTTAAATTTACGTCCCAATAGCTAATGATTCTTACCAAAAATCTGTACATAAAGTGAACTTCTGCAATTCCGACGGCGACGCCAAATACAATCCGTGTCCTCTATTACTGAATCCGAATGTCCTGGCAATTCTAGAAAATTTTAAACAACAGTTGATACCCTAATTTAAACGTCTATAACAAATTCTTCAATCGGCTGTAAATAGTTATCAGTAGTCGAAATGAGATGAATATAAATAAGTACTTATATGAAAAAAGATTCTTCTTGTTTCGTTATCACTAAATTAACTTACCCAGCGCTTATGCGACAAGTTTGTTATAGTAAAACTTTTGTGTTTTTTTTTTTTTTTAATTTTGTCTCTAACATGCAGGAAATTTGTTGAAAATCCATGCTAGTCAAATTGCAGTGCCTTCGTTGTGCGTTTAAAGCCGATTTGGAAAGTAACGGGATTCTTTGTGTGAATTAAATTATGCCAAAAAAGCATCTCGGAACTTGACTTTTTGTTTAGAGAGCTATCAAACTTGAAAACTCAATAAATCTCTAAGTATAAAAGTTGCTGCTCTATTAAAAGTTTCTTATTTATTCTGTTGTACGATATACTTTTAAACTTAATAAATGGAAAACTTACTGATCGGTGTCCTCGTTAACAATAAGTTGCTGGCCCCATATCGATAACATGGGGTCTACAATTCCCTTATTACTGGGTGTCTGGAAACTGGTGAGAGGTGAACAAGCAAGATTAGCGATTCGGTGATGTTTTAATTAAGTTTTAAAAAAGCAAATTTACCTAGATATAATATTGTGCTGTTTTATTTACATGTCGCACTCAAAATGTGATTTTTGCTGCTATGCGCAAAGTGAATTGGTAAGTTTAACGTAACGTGCATGATAATTTATTCAACTCTGCAGTGCAATGTCTTTTTGAGCACAATACTATATTGAGGTAAGTTTGGTGTAATATTAGTGCCTTTAAAAATAGTATCTTATATGAAAATTCTGAATAAATGTGTATACTTCATAAATAAAAATGAGCTGCTGCTAACATAAAATCGCCGAAGTATGAAAAAATTAAACTTAAAAAACATCTCTTACACATAAAAATTAAAATTTCATTACAGCTCAAATGAAAATCCAGAAGGAAAATGAAAATGGCACTCTGCTGGATAGAGTAGAAGGATAGAGGTAAATTTGTTACAGCCTTCCAATGTAGCAAGCCGTTGCATTTTATGGAACGTCTCCCTATGTGGCTGAACTAATTCGCCATTTAATTTAACGGATCAAATATATTTTGTACTTGATGTGATGAACGAGAAAGGAAGTTTTGCTCCCAGAAGCTACTAGAAAAGTTATCCAAAGCATTAAGCAGTATTGGTTGAGTTAGTAGTCACAAGAGGACAACCCTTTGCTCTTGAACTGTCCAAAAACAAGTTTAACAAATTCTTAAATTTTTAGCTCAAAATCGTGAATTGATGCCTCCATCTGTATATCTGTAGAATCATAGTGTTCGTCATGCAAAAAGGTGTGCTCAGACGAGAAAACCAGAGTAGTGCGCACATAATATAAATAAATCACATTCAATTTTGGTGCCAAAAAAAAGATCGGATCAATGTTAAGCCGATTCTGTTGAAAAACTAGGTGCAGTAAGAGCCTACCTCAATTCTGACAATGGTAAAAAGTCAACGTCTAGAAGAGGTCTTAGGCTGGGAAGACTGTAGGCCATCAAATGTCCATTTGAAACGTAGGTCACCAGGCATACGCTGTCTACAAAAACATTTTATTGAATTTTAAAATATTTTTGTCCAATAGTACTTTACCTTTAAATGATATTACTTCAGCTTTCACTACAAAATCACTGTCAGCTAATTGCTGCCTGTAAACGCAGTTTTGCGAAGGTAGAGCTACAACCCTGGCCTGTTTTTCACTGGCTATCACCACGAATTGCCTGTCGTTGTAGTTGTCGCTTCTTGTGGAATTTTCACCTAAAGTAGGACTCATGCGGTTTTGATTTCTTGTCGGTGTTCCTACAACAACAAATAATAGGCAACTTGCACATTCTGTTTTGGATGATTGACTCACGAAACTACTGTGATTGGAACATTGTTAAAGATGAACGGAGTTTAACCGTTTTTGCGAAAAGCTATGATATGAATTGATTTACACAGATTTTCTTTATGTTGATTCAGGTGTTGATTATTTAAGATTGTGTTTATCATGGTGTTTTCCGGTAATATGAATATGAACTTCTTTCCTACATGAATCTGATTTTGATTTATGTTAATATTTTATGTCAATATTTGATTTTGTTCTATTTTTTGCATTTATGTTTATGTATTTTCTTAGACAGATAAGCTGTACTGTATAGTAAATCGAAGGCGACAATGTTTTAGGTTAAAGAGAAATTAACCAAGTTTATGAAATTGAATATATACAAAATGAAATTGGAGGTGGTGTTTGATTAAATTCTACTGGTCAATTTAAGCTCTTCCATATCTTAATACTCGTCGCTGCAACAAGTACAACGGGAGTTGTCATTTTATTCATAGTTTGATGTGAAAGGTGTTCGAATTACCGTATTATCTTATCGTGATCTATCTGATACCTTGATTAGGCTTCCTAAGAGAGTTCATAGATAAATATGTTTTCAAAAGGTGGCAAAGGTATTTGGGAAAGTTTACTTAGTTCAATGAAAGCACATGTACTAGGAATCGTTGGCTATCCTATAAGACTTTCCTTTCCTTGTAGCAGTCCCAGCTGGTGAGCATTAGTCTCCTTATTTCTGGCTGATTAATTGCCGCCTTGAAGTCGATCATTATCGTTTAATGTTCCATGAACTATTCGTCACACATGCCAGTCAGTTGTCAGTTAGTTTTTATTGTAAAGTAGGTACCTAATTTAGGTAAGCGATCAACTATGGTTCCGCTGACGTTATATCATGTGTTTCTGAATATGTATTTTGATTTTTTTGGGTTGAAATTTGATAAAATTCGGAACAGAAGATAATTTCAGTTAAGTAGCAAGCAGGAGTTTCATGGGTTAATCACATACCTACATAATAGGTATGTGAATCACTATTCCCAATGAATATGAGACAATCTTATTAGCTTAATATCTTTTTTTATTCCAACGTCTTATCAATAAATAAAATGACGAATTCAACACCATCTCCTAATTGGTGACACAGCAAAAGGCAGTGAATAATGATGACAATAGTTCAGATAAAATATTTCTAACTTTTGTGCAAGTTCCCTATTTTAAAAGTAATTAAATCCTTACGGTCTCTTTCTCGTTTCTCTCGATTATCATCCCTCCAGTTCTCGTAAGAGTAAGGTATCAGAGATCCGTTGCAGTCCAGAAAGGACAACGTTAAAATGCCTCCTTTTAGTCTAAATATCGTCATTCCAACCATCGAAACTACCACTGGTTGAGAGGATCTACTGTCGGGATCTGGTGGTATTATCAGTATTGGTAAGACTGAACCTAGACTCGTACCGATCCAGAGGGTTGGTGTAAGAACTGTCGGTTCTAGAATTGAAATAGGATTTGAAAAGATTGTCCCAAAATCAATCATAAAATGATTTTGGTTTGATTGTTGACTTTATAAGCTTATCCAGTTAATAAGATACATTGATTTTTACCTGACTTCTTGGTATATGAATCAGCAAACACCAAACATTGTACAGATTCGGACGTGATGTTTTCCAAGCTGCTCATTGAACTTGACCTTGACCTCGAAAAACTGCTATCCAGTTTGTCTACCCGACCCATAAAAATAATGAAAGTCATTAGTGATGCTGATATACATATACAAGAAACTTAAATAGATATTATTGTCTACATGATATATTGAACCATTCTCATAAAAAAACATATTGCTCACAATTTGAATCCTTGTTTAAGGAGAGTGGTTCAATAAATTGTTAAGTTTCTACGCATGCCGTTTTGCAACTATAAAATTCGTTTAATTTTTTAATAGAAATTCCAAATGCAAGTATTTTTCGGTTTGTTTTTGAAGATTTGAATAGGTTTAGATATAAAAAATCGAAGCTAAAAGCTTGTTATAAGTGGATTAGTTGAAGCCAAGTAAAAGCCTAATAACAACGTGCACAAACCAGCAATAGCAGTAAAATTTGGAATTTGGGGTATAAAATATTCACAAATACAATTTCGAGTTTAATAATAATAATATCCTATGCCAAACATATTTAATTGACTCTGAACATAAGAGTTAATCTAAAATCTCTCAAAAGTTTTTTAGAAGTTATTTGAAGTATTTCGGAAAATAGGATATTTTTTATTTGATATTTAGTTTTCTTATGTGGACTTTATTTATTTACAGACATGCACTTTTATTTAAATAATATAAGGTATATTATATTTCAACATATTTTACATTTTTTTTTTCATGCTACATACTAACGTACTTCCATGCAAAAGTTAACCACGTTGTTTCCTCCTACATTAGACGTTTGCCATCGTCATCGAATTATTGTATAATTGCAACTATTTGAGTGATGGACAAATTATTCCTTATCGGACTTGCGTTTCTGTTCACATTGAAGTATTATTCTGTAGAAATAAAACGTATACAGCAAATCGATAACGTACGCAAAATCATCGCCGAAAAAATAGACCCTAATTATTGAGGAAAAAACGTAGTTAATGGATTTCAACAAAGCAAATAACATACTGTATTGACATGGTTAAAAGAAAATACACAAAATCAATAAAAAAACATATACAAAAATTTAAAAGAAACAGAAAAAAGGAATAAACATCGGGTTACAACAAATATTGGAAGCTGGTTAAAATAGGGGGATTCGTGCAAAGCACATCAAAGATTTTATCGAATAAAATGGACTCGAGCAAAATCTAAGTAGACTTTTGCTGAAGTCAAAACCGACCAATCGAGATTTTAAAGTGGCCCACAACACAAATAGATGACGAACAAACAGATTTTTGGTGCGAACATTGAACATTCAACATCAAAGTAGAATTTATTTAATTGTAATTTTTGAAGCTTTATATTTGTAAATATTCTCAACTGGAATTGTGTTTATTGAAGCTTCAAAAATTCAAAAAAAAACATATTAAAGATAAGATAGAAAAAAGAGTTTACAGATTTGGAAGTACATTTAGTCACCATAGGTAATGACGGTGTGATATAGGTACATGCTAATCTAAAGATAAAATGGTGAAATTGGAAGGAAGCCAGAAAGTTTGATGAAATTTAGTGTAAAAGGCTTCGCACAACATCTTTTAGAAGCATTTATTAAAAACAATCAATAATAAGTGTATCTAAATTTTGCTAAATAAAAACTCCTATCTACGTGTGTGTATAATTTTACTACTGTGTGAGAGAAACAAGAATCAACAAAATACTTTTACAAAAATCTTCAAGTACCTATATAATGAATACAATATTTTTTTTCTAATAAACTGTACAATTGATTTTGATCTAAACTATTTATTTGATTGAATAAGTTGTACTGCTATTGCTTAGAAACTTTCTACAGAATTTACTAAGTATAAACATAAACTTGAAGCTACTTGACAAAAAGTGAATAAAATGAAAAACTATTGAGACTAAAACTAAGAATGAAGGTTTAGAAAGGAAGTCTCAATTTTTCGTAAGTGAGATGGAAAATTGAAAGCTAAGTGATTAGAAATAGTGGATCAAATGAGCAGTGACGTTTCTTTTAAATTTGTTACATTACTTACAAAAAATAATACAAGTTTTTGTATAATAAAAAAATCAAAATTTATTCGAGACGTTCTGGTTTAAATTTGCATTGCTGCATGGTTATTTAACTGTTACTCCATTAGAAGTGAAAACTATCAACACGAATAGAAACGTAAATAATTGTCCTCAATTTCACATCAGAAATTATACGAAGAATAATCGCTTGCATGACTGGAAAAGACTTTGTGAGGTGTTTCACAAGGACCAAGAAGTATTTTCAGAATTCTTATAATCAGGAATCTCAGAGAAGTAAGCCAAGAAGTCGACGAAAAGTTAATTCAAAGCAACAGGCCCGTGATTAATTTTTGAAATACCGGCTTTATGTCCTTTGTTGCCATGATTGCTCCGATTTTTCAGCAACTTTCTTCGGTTGCTGGGTAAGTTTGTTGTTGGTTCCTATATATTTTTCCTATATTTTATTAACCTGCTTCTATTCATACTATTGGGCATCTTGACAAAAATTATTTTTGGTTATTTGACTCCTATTGTGACACTCATTTCTGTTCCTTCAGTCCAGTGCATTGAATTGATGCGCCAACTAGCTTTTTTAAAAATGCAAATGAGCTAATTATTTTATTTTTCAGAGAGCCATATCACAATGAGAGTTGTTTGATGTAGACTTAAGAAAATCACAGTAGAAGCGTATTCCTGAGATTAGGCCGAGTTTATGCATTTTTCTTTATTGTATGAATAAATATTGGTAAAATTAGCATTTTTTATTTCAAAAAGCCACACAAATTTAAACCAGAATATGATTCATAACCTCAAAATATATGAGATACTAAAACAAAAAAAAATTATTGCGGTGACTCTGTGTACTACCAAAACTGCAATATTGCCGCGCCACCATCAACTGCTGCTTGGTTTGGCGGTCCGATTGAGCGGTCAACGCCGTTGGGCCGCCGCCAGGCGATAGCACGTTTCCCAACCCGGAATAATACGATTGGTCCTCGGAATAAGATGCCGTCGATAAACACTTGTGAAGTTTGCGGGTACCTTGACTTCGGCTACGTCTGGGCGGTTCGGGTCTCGGCCGGCACGACGTCGAAGACGTACCAAAAGGCGTCGTGGTGTTCATCGGTTGAGTGACGGTACCCGATTGGGCGGACGGTGTACTGGCGGTCGCAGGACATACGCCGTTTATCTGACAAGGATACAAGACAGGCACATGTGGCAATAACAATAACATACTAATGTATTATTTTTTTTGGAAGAGGGAAAAGGAAATGGGGTGTGATGCTAAAGCCCACTTGTTAAGCTGTTAGTTAACACCACCTTGGAATTGTATCAGCCAATAGGTATTATATTGCCACATCGAGCTTAATCGTTGATAAGATAGTAAGTTCCAATTTATATTGTTCCCAAGTGTTGATAAATTTTTCAAATGAAGAGCCTCTCAGAAACACATCTTCTAGGAGAAAAATGTAAGTTGGCACACTCTCTAGTATTCCAGAAAAGTAGGTACAGGATCCTAATCGCTCTCAAACATTTATTCGCTAGTAAGCCGTATCCCAGAGAAAAATTAAAAGTTCCCGGAAATAGCATTGCATCAGAATCGAAACAGTATTGTAAACATTTGCCAGAAATACTTTATAGACGGAGAGCAAGCGCCGAAAAAATTCTCTGAATTTACTAAAGCCAGATTTTGGCCAGTTGATTACAGTATTTACCTTCAGGGTGATCTATTATAAATGTAACCCCCTGCTAACTTTTTCATTTGACGTTTTTGACAGAAGTGTCAAATACAAAAGTTTCAAGAAATTGTCAAAAGTTTTTAACTAAGTCAGTTTTAGGCATACAGGGTGCGTCAAAAAAGTGCAGCAGTGTAATGTTATATTTTTTTTAAATGGAACACCCTATATATTGTGCACCTGTTTGTTAGTCCCCTTTTACCTGATTTCAACGATATATGGTTTGATATGTTTATCCCTCAGTTTATCTCCAATATTTATAGGGAAAAACGCGAAAATTCCTTCCTAGGTCTCTCATGTTATTTTTTTTTTAATAATAATAATAGCTTAGACATCTGGATTTATTATAATATTTCACCTTGTATATTAATGAATAAAATTTGAACAATAAACTGATAATAAAAAAAATTCTATAAAGCTTAAATGGTATAATTTTCCTTTTTTCAATATGAAACCTTAAAAGAGGTTTTCATGTTTTTCCCTATAAGTGTTGAAGATAGACATATCAAACCTTATATCGTTGAAAACAGGTTAAAGGGGACTAACAAATAGGCGCACAATATACAGGGTGTTCTATTTAAAAAAATATAACTTCAAGCTGCTGCACTTTTTTGACGCACCCTATATGCCTAAAACTGACTTAGTTAAAAACTTTTGACAATTTATTGAAACTTTTGTATTTGACACTTCTGTCAAAAACGTCAAATGAAAAAGTTAGCAGGGGGTTACATTTATAATAGATCACCCTGTACATAAAAATACCGCGGTCAATCAAGCAAAACTTGGGCAAGGACCTAGGGTGTCTTGTTAAAGTTGTCGAGATAACTCGCAACGAATTTGCTGAGGCTGAAAATCGTTATACATATTATATATTACACATAAATAACAGTGATGTTAGATGTTAGTCAGTCAGTTGAATAGCGGAACTGGGCTGGTCAGTCAGCCCCATTGAGGTAGTTGAGCCCCAATTTATTTTAAAAAAAGTAATAAAGTCTGTTTTTTTTTTTAAGTCAAAATGACAATATGTTGGCAATACAATGTAAAATTGTCATTGCTTTCAAATTTTTTATGCAGAAAAGGCTTCTGTTGCCAACATAGTTACTAGATTTTTGACTTGGGGAATTATCTTTTAAAAAAAAAACAGATTTTAGATCTATTTTTTTTTTAGAGTGACACCGTGACAAGTATTAATTAATAGCTTTGTTCCGTAATATTAATATTTCTTGTAGATTTTTACATTTATTGGGGCTGACTGACCAGCACGGTCCCGCTATTCAACTGACTGACTAACATTACTGTTATTTATATGTTATATATCATA